AAAAAAAACTAGATTTCTAGAAAACCTTGAAACAGTGAAAAAAATTCGCTATTTTCATGTAGAAAATGTTTCGTCTTATCCACCTTGTTTTTTAACTCTAAAGTTATATTTGAATTCTCTAAACGTGTTCAATCAGCAGACGACAATTGAAAGCATATGTAGAACAGAAAACATTCATAAAATGAATTCTCGTATTTTATTTTGTCTTTTATTAAATAAATGAGATTTGAACATGTTTATATTTTATTTATTCATTTTTATTTTCATATGTTAAGAATAACGTGGCTTTATTTTCTAATTGCTTGAGAGTAGAAAAAAAACGCACTAACACACAAAACAACAACTAACTAAGGCCATATATGTTCCTGTCAGCATATATATCATGACTGAACATCAAAGAGAACCAAGAAGAAAGAGAAAACAGAAATATATGATCTGGTGTTGTTAACACACATCACAACATCATATTAATAAAATTGAGATACTTTCACATGAGGAAAGTAGGCTTTGAAACGTTGAGATATTTTAAATTTAGCAGGAATCATTAGATGAATTACTTTAGCACAATTGAAACGCATTGTATCTTTTTTAAAATTATTTGTCACTTTTCTTAATGGACGATATTCAACACTAAGACATAGATTGTCCGATAAGAGCGTTTTCGTATTATCTAGAAATAATTCAACATAATCTGTATGAATGTCGATAAGTTCGAGATCATTCAAATAAGGATATTTAATGAGTGGATAATTCATATTGTTATTCTTCAATTTTTGTCCTTTTCGATTGCTTAAAGATAATTTTCGTAGAGATGGAAATGCTTGTGCAATTTCAATAAAAAATTCATATTCAAAAGGATGTTCATCATATAATGATATTTCACGAACACATTTGAATAATTCACCTGGAAAATTATTTGTAATATTATGATAATAACTTAGTGTATATGGATATGAATAAACATGACATTGACCACGTTTCATTTTTGGAAAATAATCAACACAAGATATAATTTGATTGCCTGTAAAATTTGAAAACGTCCGCTGAATATCATTATTTGAAAGTAAAGAAATTTGATCGTTCAGAGAAATAATTGAACGAATATTAAATAAAAATTCATTTAATCGTGGCATATGATTAATAATATTCTTCTTCAAATCATTCCCATCTATAAATCTATAAATATGATCGTGTGCAAGATATAAAGAAAGACTTTCTAAATTCGACATTCGATGCAGAAGTGGTATAATTAATTCATCGTAATAGTTCTGTTCTAATTGACAGATCAATGAGAAATATTTCAAATTAGGTAATTCTTCCTAAAAAAACGAAAACTATATTTAATGATGAATATTCATAGGAAACATATGAATAATTCATTGAAAAAAAACAATATTTGTTTAAATAATAATTGTTGTATTCATGCAAAATAATTTACCTTGTTGCCGATCATTACTGATGGAGGAAAAATGAACCATATATTAACATATAAAACGCGAAGTTGATTGAATCGACCATCCAAGAGATAAAGACAATCATTCGAGTTTTTCAAATTGACATGTAATTCGATCAGAGTAAAAGAGAAAAATGTCGAAAGTTCATCATCAAATGATAATGGTGGAAAATACATATAATCAGATGAATATATATTCAAATAGCGTAGATTGGTGAATACAGTAAAGACACGTGCGCAAACAGCTGTTATTGTATTTTCTGTTAGTCGTTTTCTTCCTATGTCCGGAATTGTAACAACTAAACTCCAAATCTGATATTTGTTAATACGAATGAGTGGAGTTTTATCTAAACATATATACAAATCTATTGACAAAAAAAATCATCGATTCTTTTATTGGCTTTAAAGAACCCTACATTGTACATATACATATATGTTCTTTCTCAGAATTGAAAAATAATTCGAAGAAAATTGAAAACACTCTTATTGCCATATTCCAATTGACTGTACTATCTTACTCTACTTCAAGTTTCCTTTAATATAAACTTACCATAAAATCAATTTCTGAAAAAAGTAATTGTATATTCTGATAGAAGGTCATGTTATCTATGATTTTACATCTAGTAATCTTTTGACTTCCAAACAATTTGAATATTGAGATGTTTAACACATTCATGGCGATTCGATTTTCTTTAAAAATAGCTTTCAGAGATTCATTTTCATGTACATCTACCTTCTGATAAACGCACTTATTGGTCTATTTTTTGGTATATGCTACCAGTTCTTTTGCTCTTTTTGTTTACATTTTTGCATAGGCAATCCGTTTTCACTTCAAACAGAATAATTACTCAAGTCTGGTTTTTCTCTCTCTTTTATACTGCGCAGTAGAAATGAGATCAACGAAATGATGCGGTTTCGATTTTTTTTTCTTTCGCATTCTTTTGTGATGTTATCTTTCACTCGTCGCTCGCGTTTATAAAAACAGATGAATTTTGCGATACATTATCTCACAGTGTGAATCACTTGTATCTTTTCTACAATCGTACATATAACGTGTACAATATGCATGTAGATCTCTTCTTTCTGAAACCTAGCCCGAGACAACAATCAGCAAGTCGTTTGAAGTGTAAAATTGCGGATTACAAGCTCGAAGAAAAAGACGGACCTGCTTGCGATGCACGAAGATGCTGTGCTGACGGCTATGAGAAAATTAGGCAACAACAATGAAGAGAAGCAAGTGACACAGCAGCGAAGAGAATAAAAACTTTCTGTTCTGATTGTGATAAATACTTTTGTCTTGATTGTTTCGATGAACAACATTACTCAATATAATAAAGGATTCGAATACTGAACAAGACGAAGTAAATAAGGGCACGGCCAGCCATCGGTCATCCTTGCATGAGGAAGGTTTAGAATCATAAAGATGCAGAAAATTTTTTTTCTATAGAGAGTATGATGTTGAAATATTATTAAACATGTTCCACACTCGGAGTAGCTGAGCTGACATATGACGCCAATTTCACTTTTCTTTATTAGGAGTTTAAAAACACGATTAGTTCATAAATTTCGCCAGTTTTTCATCCTGTAACTTTGTATTTTTGTCCAAAAAATGGGCAAAATTTTCAATGAAATCTTGAAACTAAGATAAAAATGAACTAATCGACTTATAGAAAAAAAATATTCATAAGCATTACAAAATAAAAAAGTTAGATTTCATACTTAAAGTCATCATAACAATGGCATTAAACTGTCCCCCATGGGAAGAGCAAAAATCAGTGAAATTCCGTAACGATTGAGATTCCGTAACGGACATTATTTTTCAGTTTTTTATGGGATACATTGATGCTTTCCAGAAAAAGGCTCAATGTTCTTAAAGCTTATTCAAAGCTTAACAAATTTCATGTGAAACGTTTTTTTGAGAATCGCTTCATTACTGTATAAAGTTTAAAACTTTGAATCCATCCTCAAAATCATGCCCAATTTTTTGAATTCCGTAACGAAAGGTATTTCTTGAACAATTCAGGTTCTACAAAAGAAAACTTAATGAAATTTCTACTGCTAATAGAACTTAGTAGTCTGCACTTATGATGAAAATTTGATGAAGTTTTCTTTTGATCTTGATGGGATATAGATGCAACAATGAGAAAAAATGAAATTCTGTAACGCTTGGCCATACCCATAAGGGAATATGTGACACCCACTACATAGAAAAAAAGAAAAGGCAACTGTTTTTTGTTATTTTTCTTATAAAATATACCGTGAGCCATCGGTAGCTTACATTTCTGCGAATGTGTTAAATAGCACACACATATCTTACTACAATGTCATATGTCTTCGAGTAAATTTCCAAAATATCGTCATCAATTCAGATGATACTATTTTTATAACAAGCCATTCAAACTTACACACTATAATATCATTGAAATCTACTATGGAGACCAATTAACCCCCCCCCCCCCGTCATTTTTCTGTATTTTTATCACTATACGTCTTTTATCTTATTTTTTTGAAATTATTATGCATATGGACAATGCTCGGAACGTGATGCATCTTGTAGCATGTTACATATACTACAAGATGCACCACGTTCCGAGCATTGTCTTTAATTATAACAATTTAAAAAACAACAACAAAAGACGTATAGTGATAAAAACACAAAAAAAGGACAGGGGGAATTTAATTGGCTCCCCTACTACATTGGCTTATCAATAATTATTCTACTACAAAGGATTAACAGATGATCAATTGTATATTAGTGTCATAATCAGATACAACCTTACTTCATGATCATTTGAATTATGTTAAAGATAGAGAGAAAAAAATTGATGAATTTTCATTTCTAAATTTTATTCTTTCAATCAAGGAAATACATGGTTTCACATACTCATTTACATAGCACTGAACAATTATTTCAATCAGACTGAATAATTTTAGCAATTTTCTCTAAGCTGTTTTGCTCGGTCACTTAAAATCACATTAACTAAATGCTCTTTTTAACCATTCTGCAGGGTTACTTTTGTCATACTTATCTGAGCCATAGTTACCATATAGTAAAAATATTATGGACAGCCAAAGATAGGTAAATTCTCATGTCTAAGCTCTATACATTCAATCGAAGAAATATATAATTACTTCTTTGAAAATTCATTTCTATAATAACAAAAATCTAAGTGTTAAAATTATATCATCCACTACTCAGAGTAAGACTTAATTTAAAAAATATTAACTGAAACTGTTTTAGGTTAGGATATATATGCATACATAAAAATAAATGTTTTGGCATGAAAGAATGTCCGCAATGATCTATTCATCTGTTTTTTATTTAAGAATATGAAATGTTTAATCATACATACTCATTCTCATAATACTTTAAAGATAAAAACAATTAAAGTTGATTTTCTTACCAATAAAAAGACGTATAGCTACATCCTCGGTAATGTTGTATATACCGAGACCACATAAATTAGAATATTCGGCAGCAAGAAGAATTCGTTCCATCGATGATGATTCAATATCAAGCCATTTGATTTTAAGACGAATTTGAGATAAGATTTGTAAACAAAATCGATCAAGTATTGTATCAGGTAATGGACAGAAACAATTTGATAGACATTGCAGTAATGTCAAAGAACTAGTATAGATTGAATCTTGTAAAATTTTATCGAATCGTGTGTTGATGCCCCATAAAGAATAGAGTACATCGATATTCTCCAATTTCTTAAAAATGATCATAAGTATTTCATCAGGTAAATCGAACAATTGAACCCATGAATGTTCCATGTTCATATTGTTTATATTCGAATGTCAGTTTTCTTTCTTAATACATTCTGACTATTAGGCCGCAATCAGACAGAAAAGTGAATTAAGGTTAAAGTTAAATTGAGCGATATGATTGGCGCATTAAGAGTTAAATCGTCTCAAAAAGATGACTTAACTCTTAATGCGCCAATCATATCGCTCTATTCCACTTTAACGTTAATACACTTCTTTGTCTGATTTCGGCCTTATATGTATATATACGGTCATTCGTTCAGTTTGACCTGTACCGTCAATAAAATGATCGCGCAATTTTTTTTTCAGTCGAAGTGGACAATGACGCGACCGATGACTTTTGGGTGGGTGTGGGATGTGGGTGTGAGTAAAGAGGGAAATCATACATATCCACACCCACCCCCACACCCACACCCACACTCACACCCACTCTTCCCACTCACTTGGACACGGAAACGGACGAAATTTGAAAAGTCATAGCCTATATAAAATGTTCATGATGTTCCTGTTATATTG